AAAAAAAAAAAAAAAAAAAAACGCGTTCATTTTTTTTTCCTTTCATTTCTCTGCGTTCGCAGCCCAACCCCCCCATCCAAAAGATGTTTTTTTTCCATTTTTTTTTGTGTGGGGGGGTGGAGCAGGGGTTGCGCCGCCGAATGGCGGTTCCCGAATCCCGAGACCCCCTCCCCTCTGGCTGCCACGTGGCGCCAAAGCCGCGCGTCCACGCGGACGCGTCTGCGGGCTCGCGGCCTCGTCCGCGACCGCGGACTTGGCCGCACCTGTCCGCCGCCGGGGGGTATTCATAGATGGGGCCTAGGCCGGGCGGATGATGTTTGGCTCTGCTTTTTTATGAAATCCTTCTTGAAAAGGAAGCTTTCCTCGAAGTTTTGGGATGCGGTAAGAAACGCTTGGCGCAGACACCCACCGGAAGTACAAGAACCGCCAGGCACGAAGGAGGAGGTTCCGAGGCAAGGCCTGTTTGAAAACAGCTTCACTTTGGATGATGAGGGGAACCCTTTTTCGGCAGGCTCAACCCCGGGCTCCTTCGGTAGAGCCTGGATGCGTAGAGGCATCTCTAGAGTGGGAGACCTGTGGGCTGAGCTTCAAGGTACCTGGGAATCGTTTGGGGAGATCCTCCCTACTCTGCAAGGGCTGTGGCACACAGAGATACACTGGAAACAGCTGCTGCGAGCAATCCCCGCCCACTGGAAGCAACTACTGGGTCCAGAAGGGCTGGACCCTGTTGGCACATGGTACGCTACCGCTTCAGATGATGAAGGACAAGGAGGAGCCGAGCCTTGGGAGGTACAACGGTTGACAGACAGTGGGTTCCACGAGGTTCAAAAGTGGGCAGTGGTTGATCAGTCTGGGATACTGGTCCCAAGTGGGAACCGCTACGTAAATTGTGCATAGACCCGACAGCGTGGCAATGGAAAGGAGGTGTAGTCTCAAGAGCCAGTCCCCGGGGGTTAGACCTATCCAATTTCTCAGTAAGCGATTCATACAGGTTGGCAACCCACAAAGGGAGGAATCCTGCAGGGGTGGCAGTGACCAGATGG